CAGAAATACATCATTTGTGAAAATGTCAACTGTGTAACTATCACGGTTCATGATATACAGCCTGGTGACAGCCGGACCGACAGACAGACAGACATCGGGCTGTCTTAGCAATAGGGTCCCGTTATAACCTTTAGGCACGGAACCCTAAAAACCACCTTCTGGGCACAGATAACTAAGCTCAGGTGAAGCATTTCAACCGGCCACACCACTGTGTTTAGTCAAGCCAAGTACGTTAATTCTCTAAAAGACATTTGCAATTATAAATGAGAGAACTCTTACTTTTCGCCACAACGTAACCATCCGATTGCAGGCAATTTCGAATGTAGTACTCCTTTATTAGACGGAAAATAACACACCAGGCATATACTCGTAAGCGTGTAAGTTACATTTTTAATTTCTATCCGCTAATTACGCAAAGGCAATGATTTGAATACATTAGCAATTCTTCGGGGTGAAATAGCTATTTGGAATTTCGGTACGTTTAAAAAACGGTAATATGTGTTACGCAAGTGTTATTACATTTTATGATTAACATAGTCTCCACGGGCAGTATCCGTATGTATTAGTGAAAAAAGCTGAATTTGAATCCTAAATGAGATAGAGACAGTTAATGATAACGTTTTGAGTTTTTTAGTCCGAAAAGTGTTACGTTCTGGTTAGAGCCATCTTTAATCCCAGTCATTTGACTACTCATGAACTACCTGTATCGATTTGGAGAACTGTAAGCGCTAAAATTTGCTCCGCACGCAAGTAAAAACCGAAATATGAATCCTGTTCATTCTAATCATTTCGAATTTATAAAATTAAGTAAAAAAGTAAAGTAAAACCTATGCAAGGGAGCCTATACAATACTCACAACAGAGGTTATTAGGTCATCACTCGACCCCAAATTCGGATTGGCACACTACACATAACTTCGAAATTATTTAGGCTTCCCTCACGATGTTTTTCATCACTACTGAGCAAGTCATAGTTCAGCGCTTAAAATTGATGATTTCTTTGGTGTTGGGAATATGATTGTACTGCTGTGGGTTATGGGTTAGGTTAGGAAGGGACCAAAATACCCTCTTTACTTCCTCGATCACAGGTCTCTTGCCCAGAATGCCCATTGGGGATGTTACGTCTATTTGTCACCGTATTCAAACTAAAAATTAGGATCAAAGCTAGCACTTAATCTGGAAGACAATCTGATGGGATTCAAAACCGAGTTTTTTATTAATACTGTTTATATTTAATCATCGAAATATCCACAGAGATTTTGCATATTTAAGCAGATGTCTCCTACCGAACGTAATAATTATGTTAAACGAAATTACTGTGGTAGGGCAACGCAAGTCATTATTGCAAGAATGGGCAGATCCGTCCGGGTTTTTTTTATGCGAAAAGTTGTGAAACGAGCAGACGATTCACCTGATGTTAAGTGAATACCGCCGCTCATGGACATCTGCCACACCCGAGGGTTACAGATGCGTTGACAACCTGTTGAAAATTGGGCTCCGGCCACCTCAGTATTTGTCATACTTCCACTTTACGCTGGTCTTCTTTGAGGTCGTGGTACTTAACCGGACGGGCCTGCCCATTCGTGCAACAGCCGAGGCTGCTGCGTGGCCCTACCGCCGTAAAACCGGGTAAGTAACACGACCTCACTTCTGCGTTTCGCTTGGTAGCCGTGTATTAAATTTATAAGGCACTAAATTTATAAGAGTGTATTAAATTAAGCTTATATAATTTTCAACAACAAAAAAAAAAACCGACTTCAAACCGGAAACTAAAAAAAAATTGTTGATAACTATAACATTTGAGGATTGCCCTTGATTTCTCTAGGATACCATCATCAGAACCGGGTTTCCTTATCATGGTACCACCGTTTGGATATCTCCTTTCCAACAAAAAATAACCATCAAAATCGGTTCAAACGACGAAGTTATCCGCGAACACACATAAAAAAAATATATATACGGTCGAATTGAGGAACCCCTTCTTTTTTGAAGTCGGTTAATTACTCCTAAGATATGGTGATACAAGAAGAGTTATTACATGCTGGGTATGTATAACCATAGAGCATAACATGGTGTTCTAAAATATTAACAATAACTTTTTATAAATCATGATATGCAAATAAATGATTATTACTATTATTATAATAAGAAAGAGAGTCCCGATAGCTGAACTACGGCTCTTATGCGATTTATAATCTAACGAAACATTAGTTTTACAACAGTACTGAATTTATAATCGTATACACAACAAGAGAACCATAGAGCTATATTTCAACGTTTGAGTTTTATTACATGGTGACGACAGTCAACTCTTACGAACTCTATGTGTTAGACATAAAATCGTTCATAAAACAGAAGCTTTGATGGATTTCAGGCTTTATTTCCATGATAATTGTACACTATAAATCTCTCACCATGTTATGGAAATATTTACTTCCCGTTTTATGTAATTTCAAAGTAAATCTGATTGTATTTATAATGCTTTGTATTGCCTTTATTTATTTTTTAAATGCCTTCTTTTAGACAATCTTAGTGTCTGGGTGTATACGACTCACATAGATCATTAATAAATTAGTTTATTAATGATCTAAATTTTTATAAGTTTATTAATAACAAATATAAACAAAATCTAAAAATGTTTTTTTTTATTTACCTAAACATTTAGAATTTTCAGGTATTATCCTGTACATGGTAATATAGACAAACTACGATTTTGGCGCGAAATTGTCATATTTTATTCTTTCTTTCTAGGAATTTGCATTCTTAATAAACATTGTTCACAAATAAATGAAAACACTGTCTTAGATATGACAGTCCGACGCCCGGTTTCTGATACACTGACCATCGTAGATGTCGACTAATCATCTGTCAAATGGCTTTTCAAATGTCATTTGAACTGTCAAAAGGATGGTTAAACTCTTTGAATTGATCATTCTGATCATTAAGTACATCATTCTGGTGATTATGATGATGCTTAGTGGTTAATGCTCCAATGTGCTAAGATCATGTATCCCGGTTTCGATCACAAATGTTAAATAGAAATGTTACTTGTTGTTATTTGTTTTAGGCGCAAAATAATACTTGACGCACTGCTTACTGCACTTGCGTAATTTAAAAATTTAAAACGTAGAGTCTTCCCCGTTACAAACAAGCCTTGTTAATCACTCGACCACCGTCACTCTGGTGTTTCGTGCCTATGAGAAAATTGATAATCACCTTATGGCTGATACGGAGTTGGACTATTCTCAGACAGTTATTGTGCGGGTTACAACAAGAATCATCCGAAAATTCTGATTGCTCCGCGAAGGATTTTTAAAACATTGCCTTAACTTTAGGATAATATTTAATTTTTTTTAAAAAAACTAGTCCCAATCTAAGGAAAAGCTAGTACCTGAGATCTTTATACATGCAGGCCTATGTACCCACAAAGTGGGCTACGCTCGGCATTTCTCTCTGTGATAAAGTTAACAATGAATATATCCGCAGTAAAACCAAGGTATCCGTCTAACCTCAGAAGATTTTGAAAAATTTGGTAAATTGGAGTGGCAAGGAGCAATATAGTTCACAGGACCAATAATAGATGGGGAAGAAGGATTTCAGTTGCAGTCTCGTTTTGCCTTTAAATTAGTATATATAGTATATATAGTTTAAATTAGTATATTAAATTAGTATAGACGACCCGAATGGCGTTGTCGGTAGTGTACCTGCCTTCTGCGCCAGAGGGTGTGGGTTCGATCCCCACTACTGGAAAAATATTGTGTGATGAGCATAGTGTTTTTCCAGTGTCTGGGTGTTTATATGTATAATGTGTATTTATTTACAAAAGAAAAGTATGTTTAAGTATGTCTATCAATTTTCTAGTACCCTTAGTACAAGCGTTGCTTAGCTTGGGACTAGAGAATGTTGTGTAAAAATGTGTCCTAAAATATTTACTTATTTATTTATTGAAATCGAACAACTTTGTTTATATAACAGCCTACCACCCAGTTTCTGAAACACTGACCATCGTAGAAGTTAACTAATCAGCTGTGAAATGGCTTTTCAAATCTTATTTGAGTTGCGAAAAGGATCGCTGGATTGACGAAGAACGTTGTGTAAAAAGAATGTGTCCTAAAATATTTATTTATTATTTATTTGTTATTAAAAGTGCCTATACGACTCCCGCTAGATGGAGACGACTTGTGCAGATATGCGGGAAGGCGTTGGATGCAGATGGCTCAGGGCGTTGGATGTCCTTGGCAGTCTAATAAGGAGGCCTATGTACAGCAGTGAACTAGAACAGGCTGAAATGCTGAAGACGATGATGATTGCATTTCATTTCGATAGTGCTTTGAAATTAATTAACTACAGAGTGACTCTTAAAAGCTTAGTACCAAAGTATTTAAATCAACACATTTTCATTACTGGTAAATTCTTGATGATACTGAACTAAAAATATAATGAAGGAGAATATCTCAAAATCGCTGCTCACACTAAAAAACTTTTTATATCGTGTGGGAATCGAACCCACGACATTCCGCTTTAAGCATCTGCGTCATGGAGTCATCAAAGCTTATTTGATAAGAAGAGATAGAATTTCCACGTAAGTATTATTGACTTACAGCCGGTTTCAATATTGTGTCTACAGATAGATTAGACAGAATATTGAAACCTGCTGTCACTGTCAAATAACTATCGTTAGTAACCAAATCTACAGATAGATAGAATATTGAAATAGGCCGTAACGCTGCGTGTTTTGCTTCGGATTCGAATCTAACACGTCTAACGTAACTGACCCGACCGTCACTGCAGTGACAAAACCTTCGCTTGAAATCGGCGCTCAAGCAACATTCCCATGGATCCGTGCTCATGCGAAATTCATATTGTTGTCGAAGTATCACCGAATGAGTGATACGCGGTTTCAATTAGGCAGTAAAGATGGCCGCCGATAGGGTTTACAAATTCGGTCTTTTGTTGCGCCGCGCCGTCGGCAGTAAATTAACTCCGTTCGCGGACGTTTCAATGGGCGAGGCGAGCGGAGTCGGGGCGCGCGATATGTCCGTGCGAATTAATTGCCGAATCTCCGCTAATTGGTATCGTCCCCGGAACGTGATGGCGCCATCGTAAGTTGAGCTGGTCGGCGAGCGTTCTCCATTCGGCCAGCGGCTCACGAGACGATGGTGGTGGTGGGTCGGGAGAGGTTAAAAGCGTGTGGTGGGCTTCGCCCGCGTACATTCGCTTTCTTAGACGTAACGCAGCGTGTTGCGTTCCGAACACGGTCAGTTGGGGTATCGCGCCAGCGTTTCCCAAAGTTCAAAGTTCGAGTCGGAGAAATAGAAGGGAAACTGAAATTCAGTGAACGGCCGTAAGGGATTGAAGAGTCCATTTGAATTAAAAAGGAATAGCAGCCTTAATTGGGCCAGAATAGTTTGGGAAGCGCTGGTCAGTTATTTGATAAATGTTTTAGCGTTAGTGAGTTTTGTGTTGTGATTATAATTTCTTTTTCTATTCTTAGCTCTACTGTCTCCGGTGAATAGAAGGGACGAAGAATAAATGGTAAGTGATTTTTTTAACATTGTTTATTTTAAAGGTTGTTGATTGTTTTAATATTGTTTATTAATACCGATACTGACACTTTATTCATGTTAAAATTAATGGAGCACATACATGGGATTTGCATGTACTGAGTAAATTTTATCACTCGCCATATACAAGCCAAAGTAAATGGGTAAATGGAATCTCAATTTCGACCCGAAAAAATGCTATTAGAAAGGAAAATCATGTATGACACTATAATTTAGTATTTTCATATTGTATATGTTAATATTTATGTATTATTCCACAATTTTAGACATGTTCTGAGTTGGTGAGAAATTGTCCTTAAATATTGAACTTATTTTCGAAAATAATTAAATACATAATACGTATTTATTTGCAAAGAAAGTACGATACCCGAAAATATGATAAAGTCGGCAGTACTCTTAGAAGACAAGTGTCTACAGTAAAAGCGGGGGAAAACTTTTTGATGCTTTACTTTTTGCGAGTTTGGAATATGAGGGTAATATTTTTACGCCAACAGCCAAAAAGCTACGAAGAATTCGGTTGCTAAGCGTTGATGGTATTACCATGGTAAGCAATAACAACTCTTTGACATTAACCTATAATTCAAAATTATTTTATTAAATCGTTAGTACCTGGAGGACCGAGCTTGGCTCGGTATTTTTGGTAAATCGTGTATTTTGGAAATAAGAAAAATAAAAAAAAAGCAATGATCTGGTAAAAGTCTGAAAAAAGTAAAAAAAAAAATAAGTGTGTAAATAATGATCGTGACACGAACTGCGGCCTTCTGTTTCGGGGCCGCCCGATTACCGGCCGAGCTATTATAACATTTTTTTTTCGGCGAAATTTACCGTCATATTGGAATGATATTTTTCATTCCCTGAAAACAGGGATAAAAGGACATTTTCTAAAAATGAAACCTAGCTAGATCGATTTTTGCCCCCGAATCGTTTAAAGGTATTAGTTAAATTGCTTTTAATGTCTTTCACAAACAGAGTACTGGCACATGGGATAAAATTTTTAGTTACGCGCGTACATAATTCCCATATACTATTTTTTAGAGTAGGATTAGTTTTTCTTAGATAATATAATATAGAGTTTTCCTTTGCGATAGGCAATTAATATTATATACAAATTAATTGATATCATATAGACCGGCGTAAAGTGGAAGAATAAAACTTTCGCGTTTCGTCTGGTGAGTGAGGTGGCCGGAGCCCAATTTTCAAAAGGTTTACAACGCATCTGGAATCCTCGGGTGTGGCATACGCCCATGGGCGGCGGTATTCACTTAACATCAGGTGAACCGTCTTCTCGCTAGGCAACCTTTCACATAAAAAAAGATGAGATGATTTATCGGCGTTGTGCCGTCATTGGAAAAGCCTACAGCGGTTAGTGGGAGCTTTGCGTAATTGCGTGTTCGCGTGTCATCGCGCACTCGGGGTCGGGAGATCGTGCGCGGTAAAAGTTTCATCCAGAGTGCCGCGCTCTGTGATCGATCGCCGCTCGTAAAGCTGACGAACCCATCGGAAATGACGTTAAAGTTAGCGCCTGCAGCTGATTCGAGGTCAGCGTGTTAGCGTACATGGTGTTATTATGCAAACGTCTTTTACCGTGTCGTTATAAGCAATTCCTCTAGCAATTTGAATGTCTGACGTAACTGAGTGATGAGTTATATAAAAAACATTATCTACGTGACGTTCGACTCAATTTTTGTCGCTATCTCAATTTTAGAAGTAGGTAGTAAAAATAGTAAAAATGGAGGTAAAAATGTTAAGTGACGTAACAGCCAAATATGTCCCACTGCCGGGAAAAGGCCTCCTCCATACAGAAGGTATTAGGGCTTAGTCCACCATACGACCCCAGCGCTGATTGGCAGACTTGATAGTTAGTTTTGTACTTCTTCTAAGTCTTCGACTTAGTTTTCTCATGCTGTTTTCGTTCACCGCTGAGCACGTGATAATAATATAATAACACGTCAATAAAAAAAATAACACGTCACTTAAAATGTCAACTAACAATTAGATTGGTTTGCCGGGTTTTGTACATAGGTTGCTCAAGTGTATTGAATTAAAAGCGAGGACTCGGACACGGAGGTAGCCGATTATATATATCTCTATACTGATAAAGGCTGTTAGCAAATCCATACAATGGCTGACTCAACTTCTAAAATGAATATTTTATAAAATAAAAACGTAAGGTACCTATTTGAAAATCAGTGTTATTTTCAAAACTATAAGTTGCACAACCCAAAGTCCATAGAATTTTTTCCCTTTTGTATTGTTAGAACGGTGTGTTTAAGCTTATGGGAATTTAATAAAAACATTTTAAAGTAAAAGCTTGTTGAACCAAAATTACAGGAGATCATACAAATTTCACTATCCGTGCGCAAATCGATCCCATGGCCGCCGGTGCAGATTTAGAACACACGAGAGCCACCAATTTCGCCATTCGTCGATGAAGAGTGTCTGATATCAAGGCAAATTTCTAAACGTCTTAAATTAGCCGGTGTGTCACATTACATAATTAGGACAGACAAAGACAATGAAACGCAAAGAACACAATTGAAGACACCTTGACACCTCTAGTACTTTCTAAGACTAATTAGTAAGATGTTTACTCTCGGCGACGAATAAAGCGTGAAGTAACATCAAGTATTGCATCATTTCACTTATTTCGACCTCAAAGCTTCAGGGGATTTCATATAGGGACGTGATACGGCATTATTGTTTGGTCTTCATTCATAAAACTTTTTATTATTACGTCTTACCACAGACTATGCTATAAAAATACAGATTAATGATAAATGTATTTCGTATATTATTACGGATATGAAGTATATAAAGGATAGTTAACTGTCATATTTGATTGATTTTGAATTAGGAAAGTTGTGTATAGTTTATTTGTGTCCATTTGATTATACTTCGACCTTTCAAGTAATTTTAGTTTCTTTTGTGGTTAGTATTAAAAGGGGTGATTCAAGTTCACTTATTATTTTAAAGTGAACCAGGCTTCGGTTTTTAAATGATTGTCCAATCAAAGGTTTTTAAGCATTTCTAAAGGATTTCATTCTGAAAAGTAACTGTGATATAAATGTAATAAAATAGAACCTGTGTGATTCTTAAATAATGGGATTGTAATTAAAAAAAATCTTCTCCTTGGTTTATTTTTGGCCTCATAGCATCCGTTATTCTTTTGTTAAAACCCCATCAAAAGTTGTGTTGGGACATAATCTTAAATAAATAAATAAACAAGAAAATGAGTTAAGGCAGATTTACTTTATTATAATCAAACTAGCTGACCCGGCAAACGTTGTTTTGCGATATAAATTAAAAAATGTTTGGGGTGGACCACCCTTAACATTTAGGGGGATGAAAAATAGACACTGTCCGATTCTCCACCCTGGCCGATATGCACACAAAATTTCACGAAAATCGGTGCAGTCGTTTCGGAGGAGTTCAATTACAAACACCGTGACACGATATATATATATATATATATATTAGAAGATATTATGACAGCTTGATGACGAATTGTGGTGATGAACTTCATCATCATCATTAAGAAAGATGGTTCACCATTCAGCATCATATCACGAAGTTGACAACCTTCTTGAATGCTGGTTTTCAGTGGAACCTTGGGGTCACGTCCCCTTTTGAACAAAGACCTCTTTAGAATGCTACAATCACATCCACCGGTTAACCGAGAATCTAACGATGTCGTCCGCCTAGTGTAGGCCTAGTGTAGGCGTCCAACTTATTAATAAATGTGACAAATTTTATTGTCACCTTTATTAATAACTAGCTTTTTGCCCGCGGCTTCGCTTGCGTTGAAGCCCTTAAATAAATATCTTTCTTTAAAAAAAAACCAATTAAAAAATACCCATGTCCTTTCTCAGGCTCGAGACTATCTGTGTACCAAATTTAATTTAAATCGGTTCAGTAGTTTTGGCGTGAAAGCGAGACAGACAGACAGAGTTACTTTCGCAGTTATAATATTAGTATGGATGTATTAGTGTATATATTAATGTATTAATACAGCCGTAATTGGAACGTATTGCGTTTCAAATAGCGTATCCAGTTATTCATAGAAGTAATTGTAGAGTTTTTACAGTGCTCTTTGGTGCTGCCAGCTGTAAAATTAAACACGTCAATATTACATGCAATATCGAAAAGGAAATCTCGCACAAACCACGTTACTTGCAATTTATGTAATATAGTCACTTGTCATTGTGGCATTGCGTTTCTAAGAGGTCGTTGCCCTTACTACACTATGACCCGGTGTTAACGAAAGTTTAGCTTGACAAAAGTAATACTGAAGTCTTTCTTACCTTTTCGATTGCGCGCAATGATTACGAGTATGTCAGCTTATGACACTTAACAGTTGCGTGGTTTTTTTTTTGCTTTAGGATTCGGTATAGACGATTCGTGGTAATAGAAAAATAGATATTGTTTGCCAGATCGCCATATAGTATGTATTAGTAAAAACTCTGTATTAACACGAACTTTAACATACGGTTAAGTGTTAATTATTTAGGAAAATAAAATTAATAGTAGCAGCAAAACTCGGCGTCAGGGGTCGTGGGTTCGATTCCCACACGTATTGCAACGTATCCGGTGTTGTTTCTCAAGCAGGGTGGACAAGCGTTCACATGGAAAACCACTTGCATGTGTCACATA